GGGGTTGTGCATTCTCCAACCAGAGTTGGAAACTCGATTTTACAAAAGCTCATTAAGTAACCCATGCAAAGAAAACAGAAGTCTCATAGGAAACATGCAACTTTAATTAAAGTCTTCCTCCAAATAAGCAAATCTCCTTCAGACAACACAATGCATGTAATGCATTGGTTGATGCGTTATTTCCCTAGTGCCCAATCCACAGAGGATGGCAATCTGTTCAAGCCATGAACAATTTTGAGAGTTTGGGCTTAGAACAGGTCCCTCTCGTCAAAGACAGCCAGTGGTAAGCCAAGAGATAATGAGAGCATCCCTTCAGACACAAGACAGCTCACTTTGTATTACAAATGCAACCTGGCATTTCATAGTGGTCAACAGATGGCAATTAATAATGCTGCCAGGATGGCAGTGTAGATGTTGAAACGGAGATTAATACAGCCATGGGGGGCAGGGACGGGTGTCAACAGTCATTCAACAATTAGTCACCATGCAATTATTAACCTGTACTGCAGGGCAATATTTAGACACAGGACATCAAGATGGTTATGTGGCTCAGGCAAAGGTTTATGGGTTCTGAAGGCTAGACAAGAGTATTATATGACCTAGACCAGCGGTTTTCAACCTGTGGTCCACAGACCTCTAAGGGTTCAAGACTATGTCTAAGGGATCCATGAAAGAGGACTAGGATCAATGAGAAGTATGTGCATGCTCGCCCCTTACAATTCAAAGGGGCCCACACCTCCATTCGAAATTTTCAAAGAGGTCAGCACCTCCACTTGAAATTTTTTAGGGGTCCATAAATGAAAAAAAGTTGGAAAACCACCGACCTAGACTCTTGCTTAGGGTCTTCCAAGTGCTGTAAGCAAGTTCAGAGTTTGTAGGCAATAATGCTAATGCTGAGGAGACTCTCAGCAGGTGTCACGATTCACAGTCACGGGTAAAAAACCTAATCCTCCCAGTTTTAGCCTATATCTTACATGCTCCTCAGCTCCTGAGAGTTGCTTTCACTAGTTTACCCCTGGCTTCCTTATTTTTATGCTTATCATCCCCACTCCAATCTGCAAATTACCTTTGCATTTGCCGATGTGTGGCTTATACCACTTCACACCTCACCTCCTTTGGCCCAGAGTGCTCTCGTCCCTGCACTCTGGCCACAAAGCTAAAAACACCACCATATGGCTTTTGGCATCGCCGACTCTTCAAGTCCGATGGGCCTTTCGTTAGCTCTGGACGTCTATCTGTGGAACAGATGTGAATTCTGTGCTGAATCCTTAAGGAGCTTCAAGAAGTCATCAAGAGAGATGTGGGAAGAGCACATCATATGGAACAGCAGAACGTCATCTGTTACAACTTAAAAGGCTTGCCAAGTGTCGAAAACTGGAAGTCACCCAATTCAAGCTTTCTATTTAAAGCGTGTGCACACACATGCACATATAAGCAGAGGACGAAGTCTTCACTTTGACAGAAGGAAAACTTATTCCCACCACTCCCTCTTCACACCCACTCTCACACTTTTCTTTAAAAGTATTCATACTACTGTGAAAATTTGAATGCAGAAAGAGGAAATGATCAAGCATTGTATGTTAAGATAGGAAAGCATGCAGCCATTTTCCAGATGGGCTGTAATGGAAAGAGATTAAACATTTAGCGTCTGAAGGCGTGGATGAGATGTCACGAGTGGCCAGGTTCGATCCCACACATTTAACAATCACCATATCCTAGGGTTTTAATTTTAGTACAGACCTGGGAGCCCACATTTCTCTGGCAACTTTGAAAATCTTAGCTACCGTTCCCAAGGGGGAAAGCTGGACGACAGGAGCTTCTTCAAAAGGAGAAGACCCACTGCGTTCTAGGGAGGGGAGGTTCCCCTGCCCCTCACCCCGTTTGGCTTGGTGGACCGCAGCTTTATTTTGGCAGCAAAAGGTTATTTATATGAGAGAGTCGAGATCAGTTCACGTGCCCTTAGACTGGGCCACAGCATCTGGGCGCTCTGGGTTGCAGAGTCAAGATGAAGGTCTTTATCTGGAAGAGTTCAGGTTCCTATGACAAGGTCAGTGCAGTCACGGCAGGAAACAGGGATGTGGGTGGTGGAAATAGGGACATATGGGATAGTGGGATGTGGGTGGACTTGCCTAGTGGCAAGACACTTGAGACATGGGTGCAGTCCACG